GACACAAAGCATAAACTTACAGAGGGAGGAATATACGAATACAATCAAGCACGACTACAGTTCTGAAACGAAGAAGACAACGACAATGTGGTGTCTTGACATCGGGTGATCGGCGATGGAGACAAACGATGGCACAACGATCGTGACTTTAGGGTCTTTTTAGCTAGCCTTTTCTATAGACAATATCAAACGCTTAGCTAAATGCTATATAGCCATATCACGCATTCTACAAACCGAAACCCAGAAAGTTTCGCACTCATTCAGACATAGAATTAAACGCACAATTCAATTTTCAGATTCGTCCACGCATCCTGTCACGCTCGCATGCAGGATATTGCTATGCACCTGTTTACATGTGATATCGGTCGTCAGTGTATGAAAACGATTAAGACACTGGTTACAACAAATGTACCATCCGTCGTTGTATGAGGAAAGTAATGTACAAAAAGATTCCTGGCATTCGTAGTCTCATGTCAAAGACTGGATATGGCATCCATACATCATGATATGCTGTCCTCTGCCAATATGATACGCAACAGTTTGCATTCGGTCTAGGATAATTTTCTATATGATTGTTGCAACACAGAAGGTTGTGACTGATAGTTTGTACATGTGTACACCAGATATGGCCCTCAGGTATGAGGTCTTACCTTACCCATAGGCAACGCGTCAAGGACAGGGGCTCTCTGTCTAAACAGCCACCAGGCCAGTCCGTGAAGCTAAACACAGTGCACCACAGTTACCGCTCCTCCATGGCAAAAAACTGCCGGCCTGACATGAAAATTGTCTTGCATATGTCAGTCCATGGATATGACATCGACATCGACCACGAAGATCTGGGTTCTCTATAAAAACGAAGACAAAAGATCCTTCAGGGGTTTCTATAAGGTCTCTATATAGAGGATCTACAAAGTTTCTGTATGGATTCATGGAATCTATACAACTTTCTATCAGGGCCCCATATGGGGGATCAGGGGTTTATAATTGGTTTCTTTGCAATTTTTTCCCTAAAGAAACGGATGTACAAGGTTTCTATAAGGAATAAACGGGTTTGCTATAAGAGCTCCATATGAGGGATCCATAATGAGTTTCTAGAAAGTCTCTCTGTAGGGCATCTATAGTTTTTCTGTATAATGGGTTTCTATAGGGTCTTTACATAGAGGATCTTTAAGATTTCTATAAGGAATCTGTAAGGGTTTCTACATGGGCTCCATATGAGGGATCTATACCGGGCTTCTATGTGGTTTCTAGAGAGGGAATCTATAAATTTTCATAAAGAATATAAAAAAGTTTTTATGAAGGCTCCGTGTAAGGGATCTCCAAACTTTTCTATAAAGAACTCCATTGTGGATCTATAAGGAGCTTCTGTAAATCTCTATATAGGGGATCTATAAAGTTTTTATAAGAGTCTATAAAAGCTGTCTATGAGGGCTCCATACAAGGGATCTACAGGGAGCTCCCATAAGATTCTACGATGGGGCTCTAATTCCCTAAATTCCCGACAGCTAAGCCGGATGTGTTGATTTCAGGGTATTTCCCTTGTATTCCCTGGATTCTCTAAGTTCCCTGAATTCCCGAATCACTGCCTACATGCAGTGAATTTACGGAATTACAGAACGCGTGAGTTCCCGAAATTCCGTGAATTTAGGGAATTCAGAGAATCTAGGGAATTGAGAGAGTTAAGGAATTTGGGGAATTGAGAGAACTTGGAGAATTTAAGGAATGTAGGAATTTCAGGATTGACTCATGGCCTCCTGGTTTGAGACGACATCAAGCGATCTCTTCTTGCTCGTAGCCTCTTTCGTGTCAAGGATGTCTGAAGCTATTGTTTGCGCATTCTGTACTGTAAACCGCTCCAGGGTGGGGGTGCTTCGTGTGGGATCTGTCGAGACCTTGATCGGATTAAGGGCGTATGCTGGCGTTTGGGGCGCAACAACGATCCACAAAGTCATGCAGTCCTTAGGGAAACTGAGGGGCGGCTCCGCGATTGGATAGGGTTCTCATGTCCACCTCCTCATGAAATTGCGGGTTACCGGCCCGAGCCCCCAGGCGGATTGGTCAGTTTTCTTATGGCAGCCAGGCCTAAACGACTCCTATTTCAAAAGCTGCTTCATCTGTTGCGGAGGTAGGTCCCGTTCGCCGCCATTGGCATCCGGTGCTGGGAAGGAACTGAGTGTCCGAAGAGGCGCAAGGCGAACAAAGGTACTCAGCGGGTTGTCTGGCAAGACGTGCGGTATCACTTGGGTCATTCGCGGAATCGGCCGAGCATCGAGTCAGAAGAGTTTCCCAACGAAGACGAGAGCGACGTTGATTGAAGACGAGGACTGAAACAGCAGGGATTTGAAACTTGAGTTGGCGTGGTTTATGTCTCGAACAGGAATTCTCAGAAGGCCAGGAGCTGTTCGTTCGAGGTCTCGTCGTCGACCCCCGTCCCCTGTCTTGGAAGTTCCGGGGTAAGTCTAGGCGCTTCTACGACTACACGGGACGTTTGGCCAAGGGCCAAGCGTTGCCGATCGCGACTATTCCTCAGAGTTTTTGGGAATTCGGTGAGCGATATCTATGCTCTGGCGATTATTGGGGCAAGCAATGTCAAATTGTCGGAGTGTTGGAGTGTCTGACGATGGGAAGAGGGGGTATTCATGCGAAACTTGTTCTGGAAGGAGCCGACAACCAGGACATGTTAAAGTGGGCAGAAGGTTTGATACAGACAGGTTATCCTCCAGAGATCGCCGTTCACTTTTGTTCCGCAGACTGTTCCGAAGCTCCGGTTTCAACAGGAGGTCTGCACGGTCAGTTTGTCAGCTGCGCAGACACGGGAGTAGCTTGGTACGGGAACGTCGCGTCGATACCTCGAGAGAACAACCAAGGAGAGATAGCAAAAGAGTTATCGAATCTTTCCAAAGGGCGAGACGTTTTGGGCGGGATACACCCTCCAGGAGCGCTTGCCCCGACCCAGGAAAATTCAGGAGAGGACGATGTGAATCGAAAGACGGCGGGAACAACCTTCAAAGGAACGCCACTGGACAAGGGAATAACGGTGCGCCGGTGGTTGAGGACTCGGGTGAAAAAGAAGAAGAGCAAGAAATCCCACAAGAAGTCTCGGAAGAGGAGCAGCTCGAGCAGCCCCAGCAGCAGAAACAGCAGTTCGGAAGTGTCGATAAGTTCCCAAGACTCGAGTCACCCATTTCGAGAAGGCCCTCGGATCAAGCAGCTAGCAAGACGAGTTCCAGGAATTCTGACGAGCCATGCTGTCGCAGAGGTGGAGTGCCTGCTGGCGCAAGGAGTTGGAGACAATCAGACCGTAGGCTTGCTGTCAGTCATGTTGAGGTATCTGAGGCTACATGTTTTGAGAAGGGACGTGGCTCCAGGACCGAAGAAAGAATTGTTGACGTTGGCTTATACCCTAGACCGTCTGTTGCAGAGGGATATTCTGGGAGCACTGGATATCATCATGCAGAGAGTGAAGTCGCTGCAGTTGGTCGTCGGGGGGTCCAGTTGGGCAGTGGCACAAAATTTGGAGTTGGTACCCCTCGAACAAGCCATCGAGCATTTGGCCAGAAGATCTCCGGGCAGTGTCCCGACCACCAGGAAGAGCATTTGAGGTTTATCCATTCAGTTCGGTTCTCTTGGGAGGTGACTTGTTGAATATTCTGTTGCGTAGAGGATGTGGTTTTGCTGATGTGGTTTCGAACGTCTGCGAGACAAGCCCTACAGACACGGCAGAGGGGAGAGTCAAGAAAGAGTGCAGTGTTTTCCCCTTGCCCCTACCCAGCGACAGTGATCTGATGCTGGTGCGCAGCTTGAGTTACCTCAACGGTGGTATTCATGTTCAACTGTCCAGTGGTCTGCCTACAATGATGCAGTCAAGAACCTTGGACTACCTTCGCGAGCGCGTCGAGGTGTCTGTAGGGCATGAGTTCAGCATCAACCGTTTTGATTGGAGTCAGTTTTTGCAAACTCGGTCGGTGAGCTATTCGGGTGAAGAGGTCGCGAAGTGGACTTCCTGGGATCATGTCAAACCCGCATTGCCGCATGGTGCCATCGGGAGTGCGAGAGCAACTGACTTTGCTCAGGGCGTCGTGCTAAATCTTTTGCGTGACCCGAGCCCCCATGTGTTTGGTGGATGGAAAGAAAAGCATGTCAAGAGTTCGAGAGTTATGGTAGAGGATGATGATTGGGGGGATTTGGCACGGGGCTTCATTGAATGTGGTCTGCTGTATCATACCCAGTTCCGCAGGGGCGACTTGCAATGGTCAAAGACTTCGCAATGGTTTATTCGGTGTTGAGAAGAATGAGGATGTTGGCGGGGCATCTATACACAGGTTGATCATGAACCTGATCCCGTTCAACAGTATCAGCCACCCAGTGGCGGGGTCAGTATGTACCCTTCCACTGCTCCATCAGATGTCTGCACTGCAACTTCATGCCGATGAGGAGCGAGTTGATCGCTTCGTCTGAGGACATACGCTGCATGTTCTATATTTTCAGCTTTTCAGCTTTTGGGAGGCTTGGTTCCCTTTCTTCACGTTCGGCAAGCCAGTGCCCCGTGACCTTGTCCCGCCTCATTTTGCGATGAGGAGTGTTTCTTAGCGGCTCGCATGCTCCCTGTGGGTTGAATCTCGACTCCGTGGGGATTGCACAACACCTACATCCGAACACCATTCGGAACGTGGTCGGTTCTCCTCAGAGCTTCCCCGGTGGGAGCGAGATTCGCAGAGACAGACCTTTGAGCTTATCGAAGCCTTTGTGGAGGGTCTGTCCAGACAACCTGGACCAGCTAAAAAAGGTGAACCCTCATGAGTTGGGTCTTTTGGAAGGAGACCTTTCTACAGAGATGAGCCCTTTGGTGGCTGCATATGCTGATGTTGGCATTCCGCAAAACCAGAAGAAATCGGTCAAGCAAGCAGTGTCAGCTGAGATGCAAGGTGCGGATTTGGATGGTTCTGAAAGGTTTGCTAGACCACGAGGCGAGAAATTGTGAAAGTATTGCAGTGCTGCTGTCTCCTTAGTTAGGAGACGGCGGTGCTCGCAGCAAGAGGTTCAAGTCGTTGGTGGTGGATTGGTCCATTTCTGTATGTTTCGCCGCCTGCTCATGTCCAGCTTCAACTCTATTTGGCGCTTTATCCAATCCTCTGAGGAGGGGGGGCCACGAGTTCGTGATATTCCGCCATCGGTGTTGTCCGAGCTGTTGATGTTTCTTGGATTGTTGCCCTTAGCACACATGGATCTTCGAGCACCTTTGTCAGGGCTGGTGAGGGCCAGCGATGCGTCACTTCTTGGAGGTGGTGTGTGCTGTTCTGACCAAATGACAAGTCTCGGGGAGAAGGTGGTTCAGAGCAGTGTGAAGGTCCCGAAGTGCCGGAGAAGGGCGTCGTTTGCATTGGACTCTTTGACGGCGCCGGTGGCTTGAGAGTGGCACTCGAGGCTCTTGGCGCCAATGTGACTCTGCACATTTCGGTTGAATGCAGTAAGGCGGCACAGCGTGTAGTTGAGGACGCCTGAGATGCTTTCTTGGCACGCTGGCGCTTCTTGGCTGTTCGAGGGTATCTTGTGAGCTCCACGCATTCTGATATAGTCATCTTCTTATTCCAAACCGTAATGCTTGGTAGGGCTTTCGTGCAATTTTTAATTTCTGTGGGTGTGCGTGGGTATATAATATATATATACATATACATATATATATATATATATCATAGGTATAAATATACATACACTTGGTAACATGCAGTACATGGGGGGGGCAGGACGACCGCAAAAATCGTTTCGGCCCAGTCGACATAAGTTTTAAGTTGAGCTAAGCAGTCGATCGCCACTGTTGTATGTATGTATGTATGTATGTATGTATGTATGTATGTTAATACATATATTATGTATAACCACCTACATGAATACAAACTGACATATATACACACACATACACATACATGTCATGAACATATATATATATATATATATATGTATATATACACATTTATATGTATATGTATATATACATATACATATACACATGTCAAAACAGATACTGCCTTTTGCTAATAATAACAATTTAATAATAATAATACTACTAATAATAATAACAATAATAATAATAATAACAATAACAATAACGTGGTTTGATAAACCCTAAGCTGAAAACACCAATCTCCGAAGCCTAAACCCCAAGAATCAACCACAAACCCTGAACCTTAAGTAAATCTAGACCCCGTGATATGAATTCTCATATTAAGTCTGCTCAATCTTAACACCCCTAAACTCCAGCCTCAACGGCCTTAGCCCAAAACTCAAAAAGCCTAAACCGTCTTGTAAACCCTGAACCTATAACCCTAGACCCGAGCCCAAAACCCTAAATCATATTAAGCTTTAACCCTAAACTCCAAAGACCCTAATCTTCACTTAAGTCGCACCTTGAAGCCTTTAAGCCAAACTAGTCGCCCGCTTTGCTTTATGTGCTACGTCGACACGACGATCAGTCGAGCAGTGGCCCGGGGCCACAGTGGGCAGGGCTTTCAGGGGTTTAGTGTGAAGGGTCTATCTAGATCGTCCGATAGGACGTCGTCCGTTAGGACGCGACCGAAAGGTCGAAGAAGGGTCCGTCCGAAAGGACGTCGTCCGCAAGGACGCGACCGAATGGTCGAACATTGTAGACGTAGTCCAACAGGTTAAAGGTTGAGGCTCCAGGCATGTTCCAGGTAACTAGTCTTAGTTGTAGGCCCAGGTCTAGTTGTAGTCGTCCGAGAGGACGTCGTCCGTCAGGACGCGACTGCCCAGTCGAAGCCCCCCGTCCGCGAGGACGTCGTCCGAAAGGACGCGACTGCTTCAGTCGATGCTGCATCCCGATCCCCACAGTCGTCCCCGAACCCCTAAGTTTAACCAATCCAGTAGGCAAAACCCCGCCACCTCGCCCCCCCCCTCCTCAGGGTTCAGGGTGCGGAGTTCAGGGTGTTGAGGGTTTAGTGTATTCAGGGTTCAGGGTATTTTGAGTTTAATTTAAGTCTAGGGAGTTGAGGGCTCAGGATATCCAGTTCAGCGCTTTCTGGGTTCAGGATATTTAGGGCTTCGGGCATTCAGGGTTAACGGGTAAGGTCTAGAGTGTTGAGGGCTCACGGGTCAGGGTGTTCAGGGTTTAGGTTATTCAGGGTTCAGGGTGTTCAACTAACTGAGTCGCACGGCTAAGTATCGTCGGTTTCCAACTTGAGAAATTCAGGGTATTTAGAGCTTGGGGTGCACATGGTTCAGCTGGGGAGTAGTAGATAACAGCCCCGTGCCTACACCCTACACCCATGAACCCTATACACCTTAAATTAAACTATAATGTAAACCCTTAAATAACCTAAACCCTTGAATACCCTAAACCTTAAACCCAGGAACTTGAATTTCAGGGTTCAGGGTTTTCAGGGTTCACGGGTGAGGATTAGGGTTTTCAGACTTCATGGGTCAGGGTGTTCAAGGCTTAGGGTATTCAAGGTTCAGGGTGTTCAACTAGTCGCACGGCCAAATATATCGTCGGCCCCTCAACACACCAAGCCCACAAGCCCGAGCCCTCAATCCTGCGACCCAATTCCCTAGACTATGGTATGCAGGGCAATTCCACTTGACAAAGTCGTCACTGTAAGATCTTGCAAGCAGTCGACTACCTTCAAAACTTAGTCCCGAGACCCCAAACCTAAAATTTTCCACGAAGCCTGAATAGCTTAAACTGCCGAGGTCGCACCATGCGCCTGGGCTGCTCTTCTTTCTGGCACTTGGTCGTCGAGGAGCCATCATGTGCATTGACCATTGAACTGCCATTGCTGGTCGATTGATTGCGTTGATTGAGTTGCTAACCTCTATTCCTGCAGTCGATGCTCCAGAGGCAGGGTGCGGACAGACAGGCAGCATGGCACAGAAACTGAGTAGTCGATCAGCAGCATGTCTAGCAGAGGCACGTCGACAGCCTTTAAGTGAGCTTAGCAGTCCAGTCGCCGCCGCCATGAAAAAGGGGCTTGGCGCCGACTGGAGAAGATGCGTTCGGCTCCATGGAGTGCCTTGGATCCAACTTGGTTCTGGTGATTGAGTTGATTCAGATTGTCGTTGTTGTAACTGAGGAAGCGAAGGCCAAGGAGATTTTCAAGAAGAGGAAGCAGAACGAGATGGCCAAGGCTGCAAACCGGAAGGCCCCCCCCCAAGCCGAGCCGTCGCAACCCACTCGGCCCAACCAGGAGCCGCCGCAATCAAGTCGACCGCCATCTCAGCCCTGGCAGTCGCAGCCCAGCGACCCCCAACCCCAGCCGTTGCAACAGAGTCGGCCGCCGCAACCCCAGCCCTTGCCGACCCAACCTAAAGGGCAGCCGAAGTCATTTGGCCCTCCTGAATCCAGTCGGCCGCCGCAGCCCCAGCTCTTGCCGACCCAACCTAAAGGGCAGCCGAAGTCATTTGGCCCTCCTGAATGTCGGCCGCCGCAACCGCAGCCCTTGCTGACCCAACCCCAAAAACAGCCGAAGTCGTTTCACCCTCCTGAACCCAGTCGGCCGCAGCCCTTGCTGACCCAACCCCAAGGGCAGCCGAAGTCGTTTGGCCCTCCTGAATCCAGTCGGCCGCCACAACCCCAGCCCTTGCCGACCCAACCTAAAGGGCAGCCGAAGTCATTTGGCCCTCCTGAATCCAGTCGGCCGCCACAACAAGCCCAGCCCTTGCCGATGCAAGCCAGCTCGCATTCATCTAGCGCTCCTCCATCCAAGTCGACTGCTCCCTGGCGCTGCTGGAGTCGCCAACCCAACTCCACCCAAGTCGGCTGGCCAGCCAGCAAAGGCGACGCCCAAGCAGTCGCCCTTCGAGCCGAGGCCCGGTCCGGCCCAGCCGTTCACACCGCCACCGCACCTCGGAGAAACGTTTTGTCCAGGATGTGCATGTGCTTCTGAAGCTGAGTCTGTGTTTGTTGCTGGTAGATTCGCCACGGCAATTCTAAGGCAGTTGCCAGTTTGGGGGGCACAAGTCGGTCAACCTCTGGTGGTGCCACTTGGCTTGGACGGCCGGCTCCTTTTTTTGCGATTGTCTGCTAGTGCCGATTGGCTCCAGGTCGGCGGGTCAAGCCATGCCCCAAATGGATCAGGCAGCAGCTTGGGCGGCAGTCAAATCATGATGTTTGCGGTTGCCACGTGCCATCAGACAACATTACGACTGAGACACTTAGGTGGCCGGCGTGATCAGCTGTGCTCAGGCGATGGTGACACTCGATTCGGCAATGAGCTTTTTGATTTCAAGATTGCTTTCGTGGTTTGGCATTGATTGGGGAGTCTGATAATCTGAGGAACGACACGGTTCGTGACCGGAGAGAAACAGAAGAACGTCGAGTCGAGCAATGGAAACGAAGCCAGGCGGCGGATGTGAAGACGGCCAAGGCAGCTTTAGTAATCACACATTATTTGACCAGTTGTGTGGTTGTGTTGTGAGTAGTTTTGAACGATTAAATTGATTCTGTGTATTGTCTAGCTGTGTAATTACAGACAAACATCCTTTAAAAGCTGAGGGGGGTGAAGAGAATGTAATATTAATGAAACAAGTTGTAAAAACTAGCCTCTTTTGCAGGCAGAGCAACAGTCGAAGATGGCCAAAACGAAGATGATCCAAGCGAATGCCATTCTCGACGCCGCTAAAGAAGCTTTGGCTCACTATTAATAATACTAATATAAGTAGAGAAGTAGAGTGTAGTGAAGATTTGTGCCGGTGCCTTCTTCAGTATAGTATGCTAACCTGACTGATTTTTTTGGGCGATCAAAAGCTACAGGTCGCCTTTGCTTCGTCCAGCGGCTCACAGTCGGCCAAGAAAAACGCCAAGGGCGCTGCCGAACGCATCCTCAGGGAGTTGAAAAGCGAGTCGGAGGAGTCGTCCTCGTCGTCCTCTTCGAAGTCGCCGGTGCAGAAGAAGAAGAAGAAGCAAGGGCGTCCGGCAGTCGACAAGAAGGCTGACAAGAATAAGAAGGGCGCCAAAAATGTGTCAAAATCTAGGGGACGTCACCGGTAGCCGACAAGTCGTCTACATGTGAGTCGAGTCTAGGCTCTGATTATATAATCAGTCAGAGACTTCTTCCTGCGACAGTGGACCCGGTGGCTCCAGTCGAAGTTGACCTTTGTTGTCAGTGCGACAAGTCGCACGTCGATCTGAGGTCCGCCGGTAGTGGTTCAGTTATATGATGAAATAAATAATCAGTTGACTTCATCGCAGCAAAAGAGGGCAGATAGTTTTCCAGTGGATTCGGCGGCTTCAGTCGTCTTGTCATTGACCGCCTGAGGGCGACAGACACTTGTACAGCAGTCGGAATCGTCGTCGCACGACAGAAAAAAGAGTTGAGGCAGCCGAAGATCACAACCCCAGATGCCAAACTGACCCAGACAGCTCAAGGAATTGTAAGACTAGTAGTTTGATTTGTCATCCCTCTTAGCCCTGCGACTTCCCTGTATAACAGAATCATCATAAGCCTCGTCGCATGTAAAGCTGCAAACCTCACCTTAACACAGTCTTTGAAAAAGCTTTGCTGCTCCAGGAGCCTCTGGTGTCGTCGATGGCTTTTCAGTCGAGTGGCCAGAAACTCAGTCAGAGTGTTAAGTCGTACGTCGATTCTTACAAATGTATTAAATAGCGCTTTGAATGTGGTTTTCGAGCGCCGCGAGTCGAATAGGGTTTAGCGGCGCGGCGGGAAGAACGTGGTTTTCAAGCGCTGTGTGCTTGTTTAACAGGCCATGATGATCGTCGTGCTTTCTACAAGAGCAGGCAGTCGTCTGAGATCGTTTTACCCTAGCAGAACTGAGAGTCGTGTGTGTCGGCCAGGTGGACGGCGTTGGAGAGCATGCTGCCAGTCGACTGTCCACGGGAAGGCAGCGGATGCTTTCGTCCAGCAGTGCATGTGCATCCGACAGTTTCGGCATGACGTTTGTTAGAAATGCAGCCAGCACGGTTGCCATTGATTGAGCGACGTTGCCATACGTGCCGCAGTCGATTCAATGTATAGTCGTCGTAGAGTCACAGAGTCACAGGTCCAGATTTCTAAATTATGCAATTTCAGTGGTCGAGCAACATTGTGTGCGTGAGTCAGCTTCGTCAGTCGTTCTGACTCCGCAATGGCAGCAGCATCGTCATCGTCGGCGCCGTCCGCGGCCAGGCTGGAGGATGACGGAGGAGCAGTCGCCGAGCTGCAGGACCGCAGTTTCGGAGCGGATCCACCAGCAGTCGAAGATTTTAGTTTATTTAGTTTGATTTAATACAGATGTTGTTTTAATTTTACACCATAAAACCATATGCTGCAGGAGAGAGACGAGTCGCCGCCTCCTCCTCCACCGCCTCCGCCACCTCCAAGCAGTCCACCACCTCCTCCGCCTCCACCACCACCAGTGGCGCAGAGGAAGGGTGCGTTCACAAAAATGCTGGCGGGGATGGATTCCCCAGTGGACGATGCCGAGGAGTCGAGCAAGGAGGAGACTGAGAAGCCAGTCGACTCGTCTGCCAAGGAATTGACTCCAGTCGCGGACGACGTGGAGTCCAAGAAGAAGAGTGAGGACCCAGTCGTCCCGATCGGCAAGGAGTCGGAGAAGACTGAGGCCAAGAATGAGCCAGTCAAGTCGGCTGGCAAGGAATTGACTCCAGTCGCACCGGACGGCAAGGAGTCGAAGAAGAGTGAGGAGCCAGACGTCCCGGATGCCGCGGAGACTGAGGGGGCAAGAAGCCAGTCGTCCCGGCAGGCTCCAGTCGTCCAGCACACCAAGCAGCAGCCTGAGGAGACAGTCGTCCAACACACCAAGCAGGAGACAGAGCCTCAGCAGCCAGTTGTGCAGGACAGCAAGCAGCAGGCGGAGCCTGAGGAGACAGTCGTCCAGCACACCAAGCAGGAGACAGAGCCTCAGGAGCCAGTCGTGCAGGACACCTGGGAGGAGACGAAGCCTCAGGAGCCAGTCGTGCAGGACACCTGGCAGGAGACGAAGCCTCAGGAGCCAGTCGTGCGGGACACCGAGCAGGAGACCAAGCCTGAGGAGCCAGTCGTCCAGGACACCCAGGAGCCAGTCGTCCAAGACGAGTGGCACGGGAGGAAGCCCTGGGCCGACGTAGAGGACGACGAGTCGGAGGAGTTGGTCCCTGTGGAGCCCTGGGAGAGGCCAGTGGAGAGGCCAGTGGAGTCGGCAACCCGATCCGCAAAGAGGCTGAGCAGACTGTGGCCGAGGCACGTGCTGTGAGCACCCAGCCGCTAGTGAGGCTTGCAAGTATGTGTCCGCGAAGCGCCTGGAAAATGCTGCAGAGAACTTCGTGGACGAGGAAGAAGCAGCAACAGCAGCGGCAGCTCCTCCTCCTCCATGGGACATGCCGGCAGAAATGGAGGAGTGGGTGCCAGCAACAGCCAGGGCACACTCAACGGTTCCAGAGAGAGCGGAGTCGACAAGGCCAGCAGAGGAGTCGACCGTTCCAGAGAGAGCGGAGTCGACAAGGCAAGCAGAGGAGTCGACCGTTCCAGAGAGAGCGGAGTCGACGCTGGCAACAGAGGAGTCGACCGTGGCGAGAGTGGAGTCGACAAGAGCCGCAGAGGAGTCGACAAGGCCAGCAGAGGAGTGGGCCGTGGCAGCGGGGGAGTCGTCCCGCCCGGAGGCGTTGAGCCTGGAGGCAGAGCGGGAGGAGCTCAGTCGACAGTCCAGGCAGCGAGACCCCAAAAGGACGCGGTTCTGCTGGTCGTTCAAGGTGCAAAGGGGCGAGGCCCCTTTCCCGAGGAGGCCCACGGACATGGAGGGCGAGTCGTCGCTGAGCGAGCACGAGTCGGATGAGCCGCCAGTGAACAAGAAGGACCCAAGTTGGCCGCCCTTCTATCCAGGACCGTGTGGCGAGAGGGCGCTGTGGGGCGTCCACGGCATCGCCGAGAGAGCCGAGCAGGACCAGTGGCTCCGCGACAGGTTTCCGTAGATGGCGAGCGCGCCGCCAGCAGCGGGATGCCAGTCGCGAAGCCCTGCAGTGGCCCGATGCCCCTGCCCAGTCGACAGCTCCAGCTCAGTCGCAACCCGGAGCTCCACCAGTCGACCCAAGGGCTCCAACCAACCCACAGGCAGCCGGCCCAGTCGACAATCCAACCAATCCACTCGGGCTAGACAACACAGCCCAGCCAAAGGCGGTCGGCCCGCAGCGAGCCCCAGTCGACCCGAACACACCAGTCGCAAAGGCAGCCGGCCCCGGTCCAGTCGTCAACCCAAAGGCAAAGGCCGACCCCAAGGCAAAGGCCGACCCCAAAGCAAAGGCCGACCCCAAAGCAAAGGCAACCAACCCGGCCGACCCGAAGCAACCCCCCACCAAGGAGCCGCCGCCGCGGCCGCCAGTCGACAACCCGGCGGATCCTCCTGCTTGGACGACCAACCTGAACCCGCCCCCTGCAAAAGCACAACAGCAGCAGCCAGTCGCAGCAACTGCAGACGGCGTTGGCCATGCTGACCCGAACCAGCCGAAGGCCACGGCCAAGGGCTACCTCGCTCCGCTCCAGCAGTGGCAGGTTCCGCGAATCGAGGCCGGTGAAAAAAATAATGCAGAATCATAAAAAATAATAGTTAAATTACTACCAACGTTAAATTAGTACCAACAATGCGCAGTACAACACAGTGAAGGTATTAAATCATATGTTTCTTACCTGAGAAACCAAGTAAATTCATGTTCATGACCTGGACAGATTCTCAAGAGCAAAAACTAAGATCACCCGTCAGGTCGTCCGTCGTCTCTTCCATGAGTCGCCCGCTGCAGCAGACGTTCTGTTGAGGCAGGGGGCAGACGCCCTCGCGTTCAACGTGTCTTTGTCGCATTCAGTCAGTCGTTCCTTGTTCCTTGTTCTTGTAAGTCCTGCCTTTCGTCTGAGTCTTAACTTAATAATAATAATAATAACAAAATTAGTTGTATTTAATCAGCATCAGGCGGTCCTGGGGATCCAACTTCACCCCAGTCCTCGGGGGGCTGCATACGTAGCCGAACTTGTGGACAAATGCACTCGTGGAGAATGGAACTCCACTTCTCAGTGGATCATGACGTGGGTGCAAGAAAAGACCAGGTTGTTGAGTCGCTCGGCTGTGATGTAAGGGTTAGATCAAGTTACTATTAGATTAGGGTTTCGGCTGAACTTTCAGGTTCCTCGAACCAAACCTAAGTTTAAGTTTTGAATAGAACACATAATAAGAGATTCTCTTCCCTGAACTAAGTGCGAGAACAGCCGGCTGCCTGGTCACAGTCGATGCCCGAGCGCGAGTGGGGCCAGTGGGCGAGATCGGGTCAGTGGGTGCCGGACCGCTACGACCAAATCGAGCAGGGATTTTGGAACTCAGTTCCAAACGACTACCGGCCGAACATGTACCGGTCGGAGTCTTTGTTGTATTGAGTGTCAGTTTTGAAGCGTGGTATTATTGCTGTCACTGTTTTTTCATTGCTTAGGCTGTAATTCCTGCAGCTACGACGTTTAAAGTACATGTCCGAATAATATTTAAATTAATAATTAATACATCTGCAGGACCAGACTGGCGAGTGGCGCCGCGACGGGCAGGGCTGGTACAACCAGCCATGGCCGACGCAGTGACTGAGTCGGCCAACAGAGTGGGTCGCCGCGACCTTCGTGACTCACTGAGGGCTTAGTCGATTCCAGGAGAGCCGCCGTGACAGACTAGAAAACATATCATCATTCATTGTCCAGAAGTCAGAGGACTGACCAAAGAAGCAAAACAAGACTGATAACAAGGAGATGAGTAGGTCAGTCGTCTGCTTTTGCTCTCCTTGATGCGACCGCCCCAACTTAATTGCTGAGACTGACACATTTTGTGTTTTTCAGTCGAGCCGCCTCGTGGCAATCACATCCTGCCTTGAGGCACCAGTCGAGCTTTCGTGAGTTCAGTCGACCATTTAGTCGAGCCAGTTGACCTGCTGGCGACGTCAAAATGCCGAACTGTGCGCCTATGCTTTGGTGGTGTAGCTCATGTTAGATAAATACCTTGCGGTGAAATCATACTGTCCGTTGTCTGGCA